GCAAGTGTGTTATACGAAGAGTAGAGTAAAAGAAAGGTGAAGAGAGAGTAGTGAGAGTGCAAAAGGAGAGCAGATGATAGAGTGGGAGAGGCACTGTCAAGAAATTTTAATGAAAATAAGAAAAAATTTTGGAGTGAGTTAAACAAGTTAAGAAAGCCTAGGGAAAATATGGATTTGTCAGTTAAAAACAGAGTAGGGGAGTTAGTAGATGGGGAGATGGAGGTATTGGGTAGATGGCGAGAATATTTTGAGGAACTTTTAAATGTTAAGGAAGAAACAGAGGCAGTAATTTCATGCACTGGTCAGGGAGGTATACCATCTTTTAGGAGTGAAGAAGAGCAGAATGTAAGTGTGGGGGAGGTACGTGAGGCATTACGTAAAATGAAAGGGGGTAAAGCAGCTGGAACTGATGGGATCATGACAGAAATGTTAAAAGCAGGGGGGGATATAGTGTTGGAGTGGTTGGTACTTTTGTTTAATAAATGTATGAAAGAGGGGAAGGTACCTAGGGATTGGCAGAGAGCATGTATAGTCCCTTTATATAAAGGGAAAGGGGACAAAAGAGACTGTAAAAATTATAGAGGAATAAGCTTACTGAGTATACCAGGAAAAGTGTACGGTAGGGTTATAATTGAAAGAATTAGAGGTAAGACAGAATGTAGGATTGCGGATGAGCAAGGAGGTTTTAGAGTGGGTAGGGGATGTGTAGATCAGGTGTTTACATTGAAGCATATATGTGAACAGTATTTAGATAAAGATAGGGAAGTTTTTATTGCATTTATGGATTTAGAAAAGGCATATGATAGAGTGGATAGAGGAGCAATGTGGCAGATGTTGCAAGTATATGGAATAGGTGGTAAGTTATTAAATGCTGTAAAGAGTTTTTATGAGGATAGTGAGGCTCAGGTTAGGGTGTGTAGAAGAGAGGGAGACTACTTCCCGGTAAAAGTAGGTCTTAGACAGGGATGTGTAATGTCACCATGGTTGTTTAATATATTTATAGATGGGGTTGTAAAGGAAGTAAATGCTAGGGTGTTTGGGAGAGGGGTGGGATTAAATTATGGGGAATCAAATTCAAAATGGGAATTGACACAGTTACTTTTTGCTGATGATACTGTGCTTATGGGAGATTCTAAAGAAAAATTGCAAAGGTTAGTGGATGAGTTTGGGAATGTGTGTAAAGGTAGAAAGTTGAAAGTGAACATAGAAAAGAGTAAGGTGATGAGGGTGTCAAATGATTTAGATAAAGAAAAATTGGATATCAAATTGGGGAGGAGGAGTATGGAAGAAGTGAATGTTTTCAGATACTTGGGAGTTGACGTGTCGGCGGATGGATTTATGAAGGATGAGGTTAATCATAGAATTGATGAGGGAAAAAAGGTGAGTGGTGCGTTGAGGTATATGTGGAGTCAAAAAACGTTATCTATGGAGGCAAAGAAGGGAATGTATGAAAGTATAGTAGTACCAACACTCTTATATGGGTGTGAAGCTTGGGTGGTAAATGCAGCAGCGAGGAGACGGTTGGAGGCAGCGGAGATGTCCTGTTTAAGGGCAATGTGTGGTGTAAATATTATGCAGAAAATTCGGAGTGTGGAAATTAGGAGAAGGTGTGGAGTTAATAAAAGTATTAGTCAGAGGGCAGAAGAGGGGTTGTTGAGGTGGTTTGGTCATTTAGAGAGAATGGATCACAGTAGAATGACATGGAAAGCATATAAATCTATAGGGGAAGGAAGGCGGGGTAGGGGTCGTCCTCGAAAGGGTTGGGAGAGAGGGGGTAAAGGAGGTTTTGTGGGTAAGGGGCTTGGACTTCCAGCAAGCGTGCGTGAGCGTGTTAGATAGGAGTGAATGGAGACGAATGGTACTTGGGACCTGACGATCTGTTGGAGTGTGAGCAGGGTAATATTTAGTGAAGGGATTCAGGGAAACCGGTTATTTTCATATAGTCGGACTTGAGTCCTGGAAATGGGAAGTACAATGCCTGCACTTTAAAGGAGGGGTTTGGGATATTGGCAGTTTGGAGGGATATGTTGTGTATCTTTATATGTTTATGCTTCTAGACTGTTGTATTCTGAGCACCTCTGCAAAAACAGTGATAATGTGCGAGTGTGGTGAAAGTGTTGAATGATGATGAAAGTATTTTCTTTTTGGGGATTTTCTTTCTTTTTTGGGTCACCCTGCCTCGGTGGGAGACGGCCGACTTGTTGAAAAAAAAAAAAAAAAAAACATGACATGTATTCTAGAATGAATAAAATATGCCATTATGTCATGAGTGTTGTTGGTGATGTATAAGGGCCACAGAGCATAAGCCTTACATAGTGGTGGTGGAGGGAGGTGGCAGTAGAGACGGCGGTGTTGTCAGTTGCCCTATACAACTCCAACATCATTGGAGGAGTTAGGTTCGTGCTGTCCTTTTTCTATCGATTAATCGCTTAACTGACTTGCTACACTGTTAATGCTACACTATCATTAGCTGGCGCTATAGCCTTCATCAATTTGTGCTGCTTTAGTATCGTACACATCAGTCACTGAAGGCGGCACATTCTCCCCTCTCTCTTCCTCCTCCATTTTGGTACTCTGCTATGATTTCTTTCTTGAATTCTATAGTTTCTTCACCTTTACCAAAGGGCTGGCACTAATACAATATTTTACGACGTTTTCACGTGTTTTATGACTTCATGGTTCAATAGGTTAAGGAAGCAGTATTATATTATATTTCCCTACAATATATTGGGGCACCAAACATTCACTATTTTTCAACATTTGCTAGGCTCTGGATCCCCTAACCCTCGCGAATGTTGAGGGAGACCTGTATCGATAAGAGGAACCTGCACAGGCAAGCCAGTAGGCAAATGGGAAAAGTACAAAAGTGGACCATCTCTAGATGGTAGGCTAACAAAAAGGAAGTTGGCATCAGGGAGAATGGGCTCCACAACCTGATGGTTCTTGAAGGACTGACAAGGTTATTCACCTGACAAAATTATTCTGCTTCTAAATTGACAGGATAGGACCACCTCTAATTGCAGTCAGGAGAAAGCCGACCTCTTTGTGGCCAGGATGCAAGTTCCTGATCCAGCAGCAAAGGATCTCTTGGCTAGCTGCAAGAACTGTCAGAGTTGTCAGTGGTGACGATAAGGCAAGATGAAGTCTATTGTCTCCTTAAATTGTTGGGCATAAAAAAAAAATACTGTGGGCCCAGGTAAGTCAAGCCCAAGACTGCCAAGTAGATGTGCAGACCAGCTAGCAGCACCTCTAACTCGCACCTATCAGCGCTGCAAAACAGTGTAAATGTCCTTTTGTTGAAAGAGGCAAATGTAGTCCCTGTTCACAAAATGAGCAGAGCAGAAATCATCAGCTACAAGCCAATGTCACTCCTGGCAATCACTGGCAAAATTCTTGAGACAACCTCATGGCAGATGACAGTTTTTCAACTACCACTCACTTCTCTGTGATTGCCAATATGGCTTCAGAAAAGGTCACTTAGCTGCTGATCTGCTGTTAAGCCTCTCCATTATGTAGCACCTGTCTTTGGAAGAATCCAAGGTCAGCTGTTTAGTAGCACTGGACATTGCTGGGGCTTTCGACCTAGTATGGCACCAGGAACTCTTAGCAAAACTAACTGCAAGTACTAGGAGTTGCTGGCTCTGCCCTATGCCTCCTCAGCAGTTACCTCTTAAAGTAAACCTCTAAGAGTAGTTCTCAATGGAATAGAGTCAACAAGACACCCTATTGGAGAAAGTGTTCCACAGGAAAGTGTGCTTGGGCCCTTGTTATGGAATGTCTACTTCAATAACCTTCATCTCATCCCAGAATACCATGCATATGCAGGTGACTGTACTCTTGACTTACTTATCCAAGAGAGGAAATTGCCAGCAGCTCAAAGTTATATTATCCACCAGCTTACAGCTATAGCAGCCTGCAAAAAATGATGGCAGGTAACATTTGCTCCTGAGAAAGCACAAATGATGATGATCTCCATGCAGCATGATGATAATGCTGGAGCAGTGGTAAGAACGAGTGAGTGTGTGTTGGTACCTGGGGGATGAGGCCGATATCCTTGGGGTGAAATTCAACTCCAAACTAAACATGAAGAACCACGTTGGAAACCTTGCAAAAAAGGCGGCCAGGAAGCTCATTTTGACATATCTCATATCTACTTGACAGCCGAGGTGCAAGATTCTGTACGAAGCATACGTATGCTCACACCTTGAGTATGCTCCACTTTCTTAGATTGCCTGCCTGCCTCCCTCTTCCTCCTCCCCTCCCCTCTCCCAAACTCGTATGACTTTACAGAATAGACAACAGAGAATGATGGCTCATCTCTTGCCTGGACCCAGCCTGGATGCATCTGTCATGTCAGCAGAGCCTTTGACATAGGAAGGATGTGGGTGGCCTTACTGTTATGCACAAGGCCATCAGTGTCAAGGTACCACACCTGGCTCCACCCCGAGGACAGTGAGATGTGAGCTTCTACACAAGATGGGCAGCAAACATTACTTCATCTAAGATCATTTCCAGGATGACTCGAGTCTGGAACATGTTCGTACAGCATAAAGACATCAAATTAGTCAGCTGACCAGTAAAAATCACTGGCCCACAGACGGCTTCAACTTCATCCTGTTCCATATCTGTATATGTCTTAATAAAAAGGCTTACAAATGAGCTGATATAGGTAACAGATCCTAGCTTGTAAATAAAGTTAGGAACCCTAAACCTAACCAGTGTAAAAAAAATGGGGGGAGAGATAGGGAGGGAGGAGACAGAGGAAGGGGGAAGAGGGGAGAGGGGAGAGGGGGGAAGACTATAGTCCAAGCATGTTGTTGCAATCAGGAATTTCAGCTTCAGAAAGCCTATAGCTAGAAAGCTTGAGGAAGGATAAGAGATAATTCCTCGGATTCAAAGTCTCCTTCACTGCAAAAAGAAACCTTCCCTTGAAGGGTAAACAATTTTAATAAAATTAAATTCTGATCAGTCTTGACCTTGTAAGGATAATTGTCTCAAGATGCATACGAATAATCTTTATTTAGAGCCACTTAACAAAAGTTACAGACCATTTTCAGTAACAGTATAGATTGAACATTTTAAAATCTTTCGAGATAAATATAAAATTCTTTCAAGGTTACAAAAGTGCTTGAAAGATTTTGAGGACTTGTGGAACCTTAAGTAAGTGCCACTTGGGTTTTTTTTTTTTTTTTTTCTAGTTTCAGGCTTTTTCTACAAAACTATCCCTCTGGGTTTATTTAAAAGTTTGTCCTAGGTTTAATTAAGAATGAAAGTCACAAAACAAATTAATGGTACCAATAAAATATGGGGCAAGAAAAGGATCAAAGATCCATTGTGCTTATGGGGAATGTTTTAAACCCCTACTAAAAACTAGAGACAAATAATTTAACATAAATGTGGCAAAGCAAAGCCAAAACCAATGGGCATTACATATATTACATGAAGCTTGCTTCCCAATACAAGTCTTAAAAACAACAGCAGTCGTCTCTCAAAAATACATCCCATGCTGCTTGATCTAATTGCAGTGTTTTATTAATGGATCTTAATGAAGCATTTTTTCCCCAGTTAATTACAAACCAGAAAAAATTAAGCAGCAACAAGAGCAAAGTTGTTATAAAAAGAGAAGTCATTCCTCTTTTGATCAGCATGAGAAATATTGAAAAGTTTACAACAAATTCTTGGTTACCAAGTTATTTTCATTTTGGAGTATGGTTTATTAAGAGCATGGCATCCATTACAATGCTCTAAGTCTACATTAATTTCATACATATACTGCCTGAAGAAGAGATGAAATCAAAACCCTCTAGTAACAGAGGAATAAATTAATATATTTGCAATTTAGTGAGAAGATAAGGCAGCACATAATTAACAGCATTTTAATTGCTGTTAACAAAATATGAATACAGATAGTATTAAAATATTAAGCCCTGACCATCCCATGAAGGAACAGATAAAACTGAAGCACAAATACCTAATTTAAAATATATATCAACATGGGTAATTATAAGAAACGCCAGACAGTATTTACATAGATAATTATTTAAGCATTTAACGAAACAGCAAAACAGTACTGCTAAATTTTGTAGATTATTTACCTAAAACAAAAAGAGGACTTGTGGCTTCAGTAGTAAAAGAATAAAATGAGAGTTTAGGTGAGCCGGTTACCATTTCTTCTTGTGTTCATCCATGCTGACACCTCCAGGACCCAGAGAAATAAGCATCAACAGACCTCCAATAACAGACAACGTCTGGAAAACAATAAGATACATCAGCTTAAGTCTCTCTCTCTCTTAACTCTGTTGTTTACTACCAATCAGATACTTTATGATTGTCAAATAACTGGCTAATTTGCATTTCACATTCCCAGAATTGTGCAGCATTTTCTTAATGTATTGGCTATTATAACTCACTGTTTTTTAATATGAGAAAATTTATAAACACACGGGTCATATAGTGGCTAGGTACTGGGAGGAATTCAGGTTCAACCCAAGGAAGGGGATGCCAAGCCCAACTTCTTGGATAAAAAGCCCGCTCATCTTGAGCCAGAGTCATAACTGCACAAAACTGGCATCAGAATTAAACTTTTTAGATATGCCTACACATAAATACCATCTCTTTCTTATACATAATTCTATAAACTTAAGTATTCTTACCCTGAACATTGATTAATGCTTGCAATTGCTATATATTAAAATATAATGATCAGGAGCAGACAAGTGTTTTGAACCTTTCACTTTAACCCTCTCAGGGTTGAGAGGCCCTCTCCTAAACTCTTTCTCAGTCAAAAATTTTTTGGAAAAAAAAAAAAAAAAAAAAAAAAAAAAAAAATCTTATGAAATGATAGAGAATCTTTTCCCAATCACAATGACACCAAAAGTATGAAATTTGATGGAAAACTTATGGAATTACGCTCTCGCGAAGCTAGCGGTCTCAACAATGTTTACACATTGGCGATTTTGCCCACTTTGAGCCCTATTCTTGGCCAATTCCAGTGTACTAGTCGACAAAAATCTTACTTATTTCGCTAGAACTCCATTTTATCTATCGAATGAGTACAAGAAACCACCCATTCACGAATTTCAACTATCCAATAAAGTGGTTAGAAATTGGCAATTTTGCCAATTTCACACAAATTTCAGAAGATGCCAATTTCCAAATAGGGTCCAGAATAAACAAGACAGACATTCCTGGCACTAAAATAACAAGTTCTCTGTTAGTCACATTCCCAGGCCCCTCTTACATTTCTTTTGCTTTCCTCTTGGAATTTTTATTCTCACAAAAAATGGAAGATTTACTGTTATGCAGACTACTGCATTAGTGTAGAAATGGTATAAATAATATTGGTGCACTTGTGAAAGAATATTAGACTCGCCAGTTGGTGTGTATTGGACGCCTAGCATGATTTGTTTACTTTTGAACTTTGGTAAAAATCGAACATTTCTGCTACTTTGAGCTCAATTTCAAGGTACTTTTCATTGTGAAACCAATCTAAATCATCTCAATTACTGTAATATGTCTTCCATTTTATAAAATAAGACTAAGAAAACTAGAATGCAACCATAAATACCATACGAAAATACAGTGCAAATTCGCTGTTTTAATCCAAAACCACTGTCAAAGTTTTTTTTTTCTCATTATACACTGTGCTGCAGGATTTTTTTTATACTGTGCACACTGACCACAGATCCAATCTTTCATATGTAGGCCTGCCAGCTTTCTCTCGCTAGATTTGAAGGCGCTAGAATTTAGGCGTTCTAGTACATCAATAACCCTGGTGCATAAGCCGTATTAGTACGTCCGAAACCATTAATTTCAGTGAATATCAATATAAAATTTCATGACTAGAGTTAATAAAGGTTACTTGAAACTTATTCAAACAGAAGACTAATGTTTTGTTGGTCTTATTCTGGAGGTTCCTAGTACAAATGTAGAGAAATTTTTTTTTATAAAATAGTTTCAAAATAGGGAGCAAGGGGCTAGTAACTCCTTCTCCTGTATATATTACTAAATGTAAAAGGAGAAACTTTCATTTTTCCTTTTGAGCCACCCTGCCTCGGTGGGATACGGCCGGTGTGTTGAAAGAAGAAAAGTTTCAAAATAGGAGGAGGTTGGTAGACAGCAGCCACCCAGGGAAGTACTACTGTCCTGCCAAATAAGTGTAAGACAGAAACCGGTATTTGTGTCTTTCGGTCTCAAACACACAAGATAACAGGTATATCTTGCTACTTTTACTTACAATTAGGTTACACATGTATGTGCACGTTTATGTATGTGCACGTTTATGTATACACACTCATCTGAATTTTCTTTGGTTATTCATAATAGTTCTCGTTCTTATTATTTTCTTTTCATATCCATGGGGTAGCAGAATAAGAACCTTTGCTCCGTAAGCCATGAGTGTTGTAAAAGTCAACTAAAATGCCAGGAGCAAGGGGCTATTAATCTCTTTTCCCATACAGCTTACTTAAAATAAAAAAGAAGAAAACCTTTAAGTTGGGATGTGTGAATGTTCATGGATGTAGTGAGGATGACAAGAAAGATTCTCTATAAGGATTACAATGCTGAGTTTACAGAATTTGGTTATTGTGTGGTTTACATGTGGTAAAATAATAATTACAGAGTGTACCACTAGAACACCTAGCATGGCTAGGCATTTCGGGCAGACTTAGATTAAATCTTAAGTTTAAAATATTACAAAATTATGAGGTAAGTTGGTATTATGGCTAAGTGACTAAATACTAGTTTGTGAGTTTAGCAATGTGAATGCTTTTGTTTTGGCACAATACATAGTTTCAGTATTGGAGTATCACAGGCCAACTTATGACTAGTTAAGATTCATTATTTTAAGATTGAGATTAATATTTCTGTTTATGGTCAAATGGGTGAGCGAGTGTAAGTGTGAACCACCAGGTGGTATTCGTGTAATTAGTTGACAGGGTGTATCAGGGAGATAAGATGTTTTCTGATGGTAGTTTTGAAGGTGATGAATGTGTCTGCAGTTCTAGAGTTTTCAGGTAGGGTGTTCCAGATTTTAGGGCCTTTGACATACATTGAATTTTTGTAAAGCTTTAGTCGGACACGGGAAATGTCAGAGATGTTTGTGTCCGGTGTTATGCCTGTGGGTTCTGTCACAACTATCAAGAAAGCGTTTTAGGTCAAGGTTAATATTGGAATTTAAGGTCCTGTAGATGTAGATTGCACAGTAGTAAGTGTGGATGTACTGAACAGGGAGTAAGTTTAGATCTATGAAGAGTGGGGAGGTGTGTTGCCAGGGATGGGATTTAGTGATTATTCTTACTGCGGCTTTTTGTTATGTTATTATTGGCTTTAGGCGTGTTGCTGCAGTTGAACCCCAAGCACAGATAGCATAGGTGAGGTATGGATATATAAGTGAATGGTATAGTGTGAGAAGGGCAGTTTCCAGCACGTAGTATCGTATCTTGGAGAGGATCCCAACCGTTTTGAGTACTTTTTTGGTTATGTGTTGGATATGGGTGCTGAAATTCATGTTGTTGTCGAGGTATAGGCCTAGGAATTTGCCCTCATTATGTCTGGCAATTAGAGTGTTGTCGATCTTAATGTTAATTTGCGCATCTCCTGCTCTGCTACCAAACATAATGTAGTAGGTTTTGTCAGTGTTAAGCATAAGTTTATTGGCTGTCATCCAAGCTGATATTTTGATCAGCTCCTCGTTAACAATAGTGTTGAGGGTGGCAAGATTAGGGCGAGAGATGACATAAGTCGTGTCGTCAGCAAAGAGAATGGGGTTCAGGTGTTGAGATACGTTTGGAAGATCATTGATGTATATGAGGAAGAGCAGGGGACCAAGGACACTTCCCTGTGGAACTCCAGTATCAAGTGGCCGTGTTGTTGATGCTGTGTCTTTAATGGTGACATACTGATACCTATTAGTAAGGTAAGATTTGAAATATGCAAGCGCATGGCCTCTTATACCATAATGGTCAAGTTTGTGGAGTAGGATGCTGTGGTCTACTGTGTCAAAAGCTTTTCTTAGGTCAATAAAAATTCCTAGTGGATATTCTTTATTTTCCAATGCTGTGTAAAGCAGATCTAGCATTTTTATGATTGCATCGTTATTGCTTTTATTTTTCCTGAATCCAAATTGGCAGGGGTCGAGTATGTTTTGTGCCGTTATAAATGAATATAGTCTCCTGTGCACGAGTTTCTCAAAGATTCTGGATAGCAATGGCCTACAGTTGTTTAAATCTGTAGGGTCACCACCTTTATGTACTGGTGTAACCCTTGCCGTCTTGAGTAGTTTCGGGAAGGTGCTAGTTTCTAGTGACTTGTTAAGAAGTAATGAGATAGTATTTGAGAGGACATGGGCCGTGGACTGTGAAGGTTATGAATGAAAAGCTGAATGTCATGGCTCTAACTGAAACAAAGCTGAAGGGGGTAGGAGTTTCAGGGGAGAGAAATAAATGGGATTAGATAAGTGTTTCTAATAGAGTTAGAGCTAAGGAAGGAGTAGCAATAATGTTGAAGGATAAGTTATGGCAGGAAAAGAGGGAATATAAATGTATAAATTCAAGGATTATGTGGAGTAAAATAAGGGTGGGATGAAAAAAGTGGGTTATAGTTAAGTGTTTATGCACCTGGAGAAGAGAGAAGTGTAGAGAGATTTTTGGGAGATGCTGAGTGAGTGAATGGGAAGTTTTGAACCAAGTGAGAGAGTACTTGTGGTTGGGGACCTAAATGCTAAAGTGGGTAAAACTGTTGTGGAGAGTAGTAGTAGCTAAGTTTGGGGTGCCAGGGGAAAATGAAAATGGGGAGCTTTTAATTTGAATTATGTATAGAAAGAGGTTTGATAATAAGTAATACATATTTTAAGGAAGAGGATAAATAAGTACACCAGATATGATATAGCATGTAATGAAAGTAGTTTGTTAGATCATGTAGTGGTGGATAAAAGGTTGATGGGTAAACTTCAGATGAGCCTATTTATAGAGGGGCAGCAGATATATCAGACATTATTTAATTGTAGCTACAGTTAGAGTAAGAGGTAAATGGGAAAAAGGAAAAAACAGCAACAGCAAGTAAGAGGTGAAAGTTTATAAACCAAGTTAGGGTTATTATTGAAAGTTAGGGCGAGATATAAGCAACTATTGGGAGAAAGGTGGGCTAATGAAAGTATAGCTAGTATGGGGGTTGAAGAGGGGTGGGATAGTTTTAAAAAGGCCATGTTAGAATGCAGAGCAGAAGTTTGTAGTTAGAGGAAGGTGGGTGC